GCGCCTCGCTTCGCTCGGGCAAGCGCCTAGCGCCTCGGGCGTTTTTGGACCTTGGCGCCTAGCGCTTTTTAAATCACTGGATTGATATTATAAAAGATATACATGATGGTGCAGTCACTAATGTTAGAATTACATTCAGTTCATCTAGGAAGTTTCCTATTAGTACCATATTAGGTCAATGATCAACTTGCTAAACATGCATAGAATATACCTCCACGAGGCATTTTATTTACCGATGATATTGTTTTAATTCATGAGAGTCTAAATGAAATTCACTCTAAACTTAAGATGCAATCTCGGTAATATTAAGAGAATTGTATACAACTAAAATGAATGGGCAAAGTTTCAACCAGTAAAAGTTTTAGGTATCTCATAGTTGGATGGTTAAAGTGGAGAGGAAGGTCGAATATTTTATGTGATCACGATTAAAAAAATATATCAAACAATTGTTCTTTATGGTTTTCAATACCATGTGATCAAGAAATAACATGTACTAAAAAAGCTAATGTTGCTAAAATGATAATGTTGAGAGCAATATATGAACTGCTAAAAGAGACCAAAAATAAATATTTTTGTTTGTGAAAGGGCAACTCCAGGATAAAATAAGGGAGGATCATCTAAGATATCATGTACATTTTAGAAAGACTTAATCTGCATTTCAAACTATAAAACAAAGTTTTTTATAGTTCTTAAAATAAACCATGATTCAGCTAATATGTGTCATGCTTTTCTCACATTAGCACATCAACATAGACATCATAACAGATCTCCAAGCAATATGCGACTCAGAAAAGTTAGGATGTTAGCATGAAAATGTACAAATCAAATATCCTATGCAATTATAACCTCCATCTTAGATACCTGTTAAGATCATATACACTATGGGCAACAACAAATAAATGATAATTCCAATCTAAATCCCAAACAATGAAGAAGATTAAAGACAATGAAAAAGATACAACATAGTTATGCTTCAGGTTGAAAAATAAACGATAAATTTTGAAGCCAAGTCGATCTAACCTTAACCGTATCATAGTAATTCCATCCAACCTCCGATGACAGTCGACCTAGCAAACAATATCTATGCCCAGGCTGAAGCCTCAATACCCTGACAGTAGATCCACCATCTCATCAAGAAAGCTGGCAACGTTGCGTACATTTCTATTCAAAATCATTTGAAGAAGAGCACTATACTTGAGGGCATCCGGAATAACCATCCTCTTTGTTTTATCGTAAGGTGGCGGCACACCCTCATACGCCTTGAGCCTTGCTAGCGCCGCAGCCCCACGCTTCGTTTTGTGAGGAATCATCCTTGAAGGACAAAAGCAAGAATCATACATAGATCTCTTAACCACCAACCCAACAAAGAAAAAAAAATTCACCAAGATCGAACTTTATATCCTGCCATTGATCCGTTCCCACGAGGCAAAAGAACTTTTACCAAGACTAAATCATTAGCATGCCATATATTACCCTCGGATGGTGCGCCAGAGGATCTTAGCGGGGGCGCGGAAGTGGATGGGGCCGTGCGATGGCTTGGTGTTCATGCGCTTGCGGAGGAAGCGGAGGTACTTCATCTTCTGGCGGACGAGGCCCCCGGAGAGGCAGATCTCCTCGCAGCGGACGACCACGACCCGCTGCCCGTTGAGGAGCTCCTTGGCGACGATTGACGCCAGCCGTCCTAGCATGTGGTGACGCGCGTCCACCACCACCCGTCGCGCGCACAACCCCGACCCAGACACCATTGCAGCAGACTTCGCCTTCTTCAACGCCTTCCCGTGGCAAACGAAAGCTCCTCACCATCTTGGGAACCTTTATACGGATCGGCGGCTAGGGTTTTTTTCCGGTCTTTCACGATACGGAACGGGGTCGAATCGATCCGAATCCGTTTTGTGTGTGCGCCATTTTGGTCAGCGGTTCGTCATATGAACTACATACATTTCCCATGCTCCAGAAAAAATATGGCTGAAAAGAAGAGCCTCCTCGACAGCAAAGAATCGATCGTCGTCTTCTTTCTTCGTCATCCATCCACCAGAACGCAACCAATAAACATGGCTCTCTCTTATCGTTAAGAGAAGTCAATGTCCACTCTTTAGGCATGAAGGCGACATCTTTGCCATCCAATATCTCGCAAATAAACAAGAAACACCAAAAACGATATAAATTTGGACAAACTAAATATATGCTTGGGATGAATAATAATACTGCATTTTGCATAGTTTGACTAAGTCGGAGGATGCTGGCGACGGAAGAACACATGATAGATATATTTGAGTTGATGCAAACAATGCATGTATAATGAATGAGAAAGGGATATGACGAAAGAAAATAAACCACAGAAGGAAGTAATTCGGAAAACCTCGAGTATTCTCAAGACAATGCTTACTCATATAGTTGTCTCATCTCATCACAACCAAAATATCCACTTCAACATGACTGGTTATGAGCACATTTACATGAACATATACACATTTATCGATCAAAGCAAGAAATCTGCTTTTGGACTTTTTACATCACCAACGTATTGCGAGCTCATAACACATGAGGTAGTTCAGGAATTTGAGACACAAACAGTACACTCAATATGATAATTACATCGTAGGAAAAAAGAAATATCACTAAATTGTAAAGTACGATAGACAATGCAACTGATGTTACGTGAATCTCGAATACATTACTGGAGTCCGCCCAGCGATCATTTCTCTCAGCTCAACGTGAAATATTGTCAGCACCCTTTATCAACTTCAGTTAATGCAGTTGGTGCCGCTCTATGCTATGAAACCTGATACAATGCTTGCTCTGAGGATCACCAAACTTGTACATCTTCGGATGAACCCAACCATTTTCAGAGACAAGTTTAATACCAAAAACTCAATTTAATGACATGTCAAAGGCAAACTTCAGAACTTAAATCGAACAAAGTAGATATAGCTCAACCCACCAAGAAAAAGTTAAAGAGCATAATGGTCATCCGATTCATGAATGATACATAGACTATCCGGACAATCTCATCCAATAAGAAGCAAAACAAATCAGGCTTTGTCTTGATTAAAGTTCAAAGAATCTAATTCTGAATAACAGTTACAAATACATAATATTCCATCTATAATGTCAACAGAAAAGGCTAAAAAATTGCTGAAGCTCAGTCCATAAAAGATAATCCTTACACAAGAAGCCCATCTATAAGTTGATCCAAGATAAAGTTCTTACAAAAAGGCAAAAGAAAAAAAAACACAGCAACAAGAAAATGCAGAATATTGGTACACCAAAACACAAAAAGATGAATGTATTACTATTATTTCCTTCTTTCTGAAATTGTTGTACAAGAATAATACAGAAAAAATAAGTGAGGTATATGTCATGTGTAACTCGAGATACCATTCCACTAAATGTACTCATATGCATTACAATCTGCAACCCCTAGAGCAAACAGACATAATCATATTGACCAGGCACAAAAAGGTGGCAGACAACACAAGAAATTGATGATGTAATCAGGGAACATTAAGCAACACCTGATTATTTGGTTTCTTGTCAGCAAAATTCTTTTTCAGCTCTTAGCTTGTTAAGAGAATTACCAGTCAACAGCCGGGAAAAAGGCAAACCATATCAGACAAGCAGGTTGTTTACAAACAAGTCTCCTGCTTCCACGAAGTTGCAAAATCTCTTTAGACTCAGCTGACAGCGCTAGATTCTTGCGTTAACTCTGTTGCTACATCTGCAGTAGAACTGCCGGTGTCTGCAGCCTGGCTTTGACTAGTCTGTCCTTGGCTATTAGCTTGTAAATCTTGTACAAGTCCTAAAACCACCTGTGTTGATCTGAACACAGCATATACAGTCTCTGGCATTCAACATCAACAAGGAGAAAATCAATACTGTAAGAACAGAAAACAAAAGTTATATTCACCTGGGCAAAGATGAACGTATGTTTGGCTGGCTAGCATGCTCAACCAAAGGAGGCCTCAGCACAGGATGTTTGTTCAATGCATTTTCAAGCTGCGCAGCTGGCAACTGTCCACCAAGTGAAAAAGGATGAGTGCATCAGTATATTAAAAGAAATCTGCATTAGGCAGGCATCAGTAGAAAAAGTGACAAAAAATGTGTGAACATTTCAAAACTATGATGGTAAGAAAATAACATCTAAAATCAAAGTGATTGATGATAGGATTGATATTAAACAATCATGCCTTATTGACAGAAGTTTGAATCAGTGATACAGGAAATGTAGTAAACTTATGATGTTTTGTAATGCAGAAAAAATAGCATCACAGATGATGTAAGGCTGTTTGAAGGTACATCAAACGATATACTTTCATGCCCTAACACATATTTCTAGTCATTCCTAGTTGCATAAGTTTTACATAGGCCACACAGATTTGCTCACACTTAATATTTTTAGCTCAAGTTTGAAACTTATTTGACAAACAGATTTGTCAAAGGTTTTACTAAACTATCTCTATGTCAACCCATATTACATAGACCACAAAGAATCTACTAATAACTTCCTACAATTTTACATAACAAAATAAAATTATAATAAGAATCTCTTCAAAAAACAATTTTACGGTTTTGAGATATTTAATGTTTTGTTTTTTATTTGTAACAATGTGGTAGGAACTCATATGGCATGTTGCTATTAGTTGTTGTGAGAATAGTTTACAGTACAAGCATGACAAATTATCTCTCTGTTGTTTTTCTCTCTTCCTCTGAAGCAACTGGAAGACAAAGAGTCAGCAGAATATGAATATTGTAGTATAGACACCTAGAACAAGCAAAAGCAGTACCAAGATGAATAATAAATATAAATTTACTACTTCCTTCGCAAACCAATGAAATATTTTCTCACCATCAGTAGAAAAAGGCTGGTAATTCTAGCTAGCTATCCAACAGTTTATGTTATGGATGATAGATAAACACTGACATACAATTAACAATGGAAAAATGTATGCTTCTACAAAACCAAAGGATTCATCTCATAAGTACTTAAATGGAAAACTGTAAATAACTAAATAGAATCAGTGAAAAACTCAAGGCCCTAGCAGTGTCATGGCCTGGCTCAATAATCTTAAACCATGTGGCTCAAAAACCTTGAGCCATGACATGGGAGCAATTATGGTATCAGCAGTAGTAACATAATTAGGCCCCAGAATGCTTAAGTACCCCATGATAAGGACATCACAATTTCCCAACTTAAAGCTGAATCTACCTTCGGGGTTCCAATATTTCAATATACTGATCTACACCATCTCGACACTCATTAGTCAGTATAAGGAGGCCAAAGTGTTCGTTTATTGCCAACTCTCACATCTTGACTCAATAGATCTGACCCAATGAGTAGGATGAAGTATAAATAGGCTAGAACTCATGCTGTCAGTAATAGACAATTTAGTTTTAGATACCAGCATAACCCACTTCTAGTGTGGGACTCACTGGGGCTAAACAACTATTGAACCCAATGTAGTTTATGACTCATAATTTGAGTTCAATTATAAGTATGTAATAAAATCAATAGGATCTTTTGCTTAGTAGCATTTTCTACTTCTCAAAGACTATAAGATTGCAATAAGATCAATAAATGTAGCTTATTTTGATGTCTCCTTTTCAGAGACAGAATTTCAAAATCAGGTCAATAAATGATTTTTTAAACTACTTTCTGAATGATTCTCCAAGACTTATTCCCAACATCCAATCTTAACAAAATGCAAATCACAATCCTGGTCAGCCTATCAACTTAATGGATCTTACAAAAAAGCTTTGATTTATTTTTCAATCTTTTTAGCCAGATTAGCAAAGCACAAAAAGACACTGATATATGCACAACAGTCTGATACCAAATTGACGCACACATGATAGAATGTTTATCATAAATAAAGGGAATAAAAGACGAGGGAGGTAGAAGATTGTAGTTAGAAGTCAAGGGCTAGATGCAGCAAGATTTTTTTACACAAGGAATAAACATGGCTAGCAAATGTTTTCTTCATGATACTCTTCCTAATTCCAAGAGAGTTTTTGGTCAATACAATCACTAAAAATCCTACTGCCTACACCATCAAAGAAGTGATAACCGGTAAGCAAAATTGTTTCTGTTTTAACTTTTCAAACACTCTCATCAATGTTATTGGCATTAAAGTGACTTAACGAATGCACCGAACAAAGATCAGTTAAATTTTGTGTCACCACAACGTACTGCATGCAATAATAGCAAACCTGTAGCACAACAGAAAAAGACTGAGGCATTGTCTGAGTAACACATTTCAAGAATCCCACCCATAGTTTTGGGTACTTCCATATCTGTAGAAACAATCGAACAACAGGCATAATTACTTTGCAGAAGTAACCTCATAAAATACCAATTTGATCTTTTTCAAGGTGCCTGTATATAATACAATTGTCTACCTGCTTACTTATGAGCCGTAACAGGATCTCCATTACAAAATCCACCTACAAAATAACAAACAGAAAATAGATTAAGTTGACACAATGAGCTTAAGATACAACACATTTTTATTTTAAACCAGAAGCAAATACAGAACTCGTAAAGATTCCTAAAACTCCTCGTGTCAACCAAGGAACTCGATTTTGCAAAGAACCGTTCGTACAGGTCAATATTTACTGGTCCATGTGTGAACTGCGACACGGACCATCCCTTATCAGATGGTCCAATTCCTCGACTTCTGACACTGCCAAACCTCCTTCTCGTGTTTCCCCTCCCCCCCACCAACCACAGCATAAGATGAAAAAAATAGTACAAGAAATCAGAAAAGAGAGTACGAAAAACAAAATATGCATCCAAGCACCAAACAACTCAAGAAGTAACAAGATCTGGAACATGATACTTCTTATCTCCAGGGTATCCTGAAATGAACAAAGACTTGTTATGCTTTCACAAGTCTGGGATTTCCAGGTCTATCATTTAGCCATTATTTCACCTATCTGAGCGCCAAGTTGTTTTGACAGGCTCCTCTATTGTCAGTCCGTGACCTCTGGATTGCAAAGGTGTCCTTCGGGTGATCTTGTAGTTTCTATGGGGTGGAGATGATGGGTCAGTCCAAAGAAGGATAAGAAGTTTATTTTATTGAGTTATATCGATGGAGGATCTGCAATCAACCTCATGAAGAAAAGGAAGCTAGCACTGCTAGGCAGGTGTAGAAGTTGCCTGCCAGCTTGTTAAAGACAGTAACTTTCATTTCTTTACCTGCCTTCTGTTGAAGATCCGGACACCTGCACTAGAAGAGAAATCTAAAAAATCTCAGTTCAAGATCCTTATTTTCTGTGTACATGGAATACAATTAGTCAATGAGCTCTCAGGATCAGCCTATACTATCAGTTACTAATGCAACTCAATCTCCATAAACATGTTATTGGTGGCTACAGCCAACTAGCAACGCAATGAACGATTAACCTCAAGGGAGACAGCCACCAGCCTATATTTGTCAGTCCTATCCCCTTTATAAGCAGGCAATGAGCTTGTGGTCTCGTTCATGCCTCATCCCTCATCATTTGCAAGGCTATCTAGGGAAAATAGCAGTGGAAGCAACATAGGTCAAGAATAGGGGACTATGTTGCTGCCGATTACTTCTTCCATTTTATATATCCATAAATCAACATAGGTTACCGTATCAATAATCCATGATCTTTGAGAAGGTGAGACTGACAACTATCATGTTCCTTTTCCAAATATGCCCTTGATGCTCGCAAGGAAGGCTCCACCTTTTACCTTCTACAACATATCTCAATCTGATCTTTCCACCATGACTCCAGATTTTACCTGATATCAACACACTGCAGAAATGACAGTAAGCTCAAATATAATCATCCTAGTTGAGAGGCAGTGATACTAAGTTTCTTCTTTTCCTCTCAGTTGAAGCTATAGCTTTTGTGAAAGATTTGAGGTCTTTCCGACTATTTACTGATGAAAGATGGAGTTCCTATCAGAAAGAATTACCAACCAGTTAGCACTCTCGTAAGAACCATTTTATGGCCACTAAAACAATATAAAGGTAAAAGAAAAATAACTACTAAAAATAAAAAATGATCCTCCATAAAGTTTATTACAAAAAAATCTAAACCTTGTGTTACTGAAAACCAGACATGATGCTGAACTTGAACATGACTAAACCCGGCCTAAGCAAATGCCAGTCTGAATCCTGCATTGACATGAAATCCTGCCATCCTCAATGATTCCCTAGAAACCGTCTTATCGCAGGGCAACATCCTTCTTAACCTGAGGACAATCTAGCGTTCAATTAGTTTCAAGGATATTTTTATGTGTCTATTGACCAAAGAAGTGGAGTAGCATCACCTAAGCATCAACAACTGAGAGCATATTGCCTCAAACTATCCAACATAGGAACCAAGTTTACATTTTGTGCTGCTCTTTAAGGTTAAGCAAACTCCATCAAAACAGACACATCCAGCCAAAGTCCAACCGCAACAGATTTGGATTGTGCTAAAATCTTACTCACTACATAGTCCACCTAAAGACTTTTTTTTAAGTATTCTCTAATAAAATAGACAAACATTATATACCAGTTATTCACTAAGTTCCAACATATAAGCACTGCTAATCTCAACAGATAGAATTTATACAGAACAAATCATATAGAGGACACTTTGCCTAATATTCCCAAATTTATGATAAAATAATTACAACTTACCAATGAAGGGAATATGCCAATTGCTTGTAAGACAGTTCGCATAAACAACAAAGGAAGAGGTATTTGTTCAACCTGCAAACCTAGCTTTGCTAAGTAGCCATTATGTATAATAAGATATGGAGCCAAAAAAAGTGATATGGTCAAGTGATACATACTAATTGATTCAACACCTTTGCCAACACCTGTTGAGTAAAAACTTTCCGCTGCTCAAAGCAAGCAGAGCATGCATCAATAACCTACAAAGCAAAGGCTCAGTTGTTTGCACTTTCACAACTTCATGGTATACATTCAACTAATAAGAAAGGAGGGGGAAAAATCTACATACCTTTTTGAGTGGTATCCCATCTTTCACAGGATCTATCCCATGAATAGCAATCAAAACTTCAGCTGGGGTGAGGCATGGGCCAGTTTTAGGCGATCCCTGATTAAATATCAGCAGAAAAGGGATATTAGGATAAAGATTTATGATCCCCTCTCCAGCCAACAAAGAGGGTATACCTGTGAAATGATACCACTTCATGAAACCTAAGAAGAATTTATCTGATTATTAATTAGTTACCACAGCCTAGTTAGGATTGTGATATATCACGACTAGAATACCCTCCTCAACTGTGACACTTTGATCTTGTCAATTATGATAAGATTACACGATTTCTTCCAGCTTATGCATTTTTCCTAATATTAATGTTTTGAGATACACTTTGTTCTGAGAGCAAAACCCACTGCAACCCTTAACATCTTGCTCTTATATCTTGAGGTCTAATATATCTCGAGGATTTTAATGTTCAAAACCTTGCCAAGCATTGATTTATGTGATGCTGTAAATATTGTATGCATGAAAGTAATAGTGTACTGTGCAAGTTGCTCGTACTTATCATGTATGTATTATGGACAATCAAGAATTTTGGCTCGGTCTTTATGAAAAAAAGACCATGGCAGTTTAAGACCTTAATTATTTCTGTTACTTTTTTATGTAGAGATTAGACCTTGGGCATCAACACGAACTTATGTTGTTAATAGATGTGGTCACGCATACAAATATCTCATTGAACTGGGGTTTTGAAATTGTCCACCTTTCTAGAATATGGTTTCCTCAATGATCCTTCAGCAGGATGGCTAGACCACTGCTTGAGATCAACCAAACATGGTGCAAGAGGACACCCCAATAGCTTAGGTCTACCATAAGATCCATCATATATTTCATAGCAACCTGTCTGTCCCAAGAGTTTTTCTGGCAACACAGTATGCTCCCATGGGACCAGCTGCTTGACCATGATTTATTACTTCTTTTGGTATTTGTTACTTTCTCATAACTGTCTATGATATGTTCTCTAATTTTTCCCTTCTTTCTGTTTTCTCTCCACACCACTCACAACATTTGTCAAAACAATAATAACCCACCCAACCATGGATTCACACAACACCAGTGTGCCAAGCTGTGTTCGCTTCATTACAGACATCTCAAAGAGTATGTTAAAATCCATTTAACCTACAATGCTTTTAAATTTCGTGTAATTAAATATAAAAAATGAAAATTAGATAATTCTGGCATTGGCAATGAATCTAAAATATTTCTTTGTTTAGTACAAATCTTGGTAAATCAATAATTAACCACCAAATTAACGAGATCTAAGAGCAAACTACATATTGCAAAATCGTTTAAACAAAAATAAGGCACTCATGATTATTAAAAAAAATAAACTTATTGGTGACAACAATTAATATAAATTATTTATGACAACGCAAACAATAACTGAAGCAACGTAAGATACAATACTTATGAAGTGAAAAAGGAATACCTGAAGCACACGACTGAGGGCACCTTGAAAATTTTCTATTGGCAGATTAACAAGATGGGGAAAAATTGGAAATATCTAGAAAACACATCAAATAAACCAATATAAGAATCATACTCAGAATGGCAAAAAAAGCAAGAGTTCAATTGAATTCAATAAAGGAACAGTGACCATGAAATATTATCATCTTCATTGTAAAGACTAAATAACATCCAAAGAAGCAAAATGAAACAGGACAGTAAAAGTTAAATTATATTGATAAAGAAAATTTAAGCAAGAAACAGCCTTATTAAACTTAATACAAAATAACAGTTTTTGCAGGTTTCATGGACACCATATGAAAACGAATTTTCTTTTTGAAAATTACCAGATACAAAGCAACAAAAACTATCATATGAACCAATCCTCTTAATTAGCAAGCAGGAAAAAAAAATATTCAAGCTTGACATTTTAACAGCACAGTAACCAATTAAACAACATGTAACTTGCATGTGATATGATGGGCAGGATCACAATACTCCTAAATTTCTAATAGAAGACAACATGCTCATGTAAGTTACTGAAGATCCACAGAAATGGAGGCGGATACAAAAACCTCATCTTTTGTTAGGAAGGGCAATACTGGAATCAGAACATCTGCATCCTGCAATTAATAGCAACATTGATTAGGTAATAAGGTAGACATATTTTCATCATCTCAAAAGAAATATATTAATCTACCTTCATTCTTGAGTGATATAACTTCTTAACAGAAGAAATCAAATCTTGTGAAGGAACGATCCCATCTGTTAATGTATGTAAAACCTGCACAAAAATTACAAATCTGCACACAGTTAAATGTTGAGTAAAAAAGATAAGAATTATGCTATCACCATCATCAAGGGCTTTCTTTCTTTTGTGTCTATGACGGAAGATCTAAAATTCTATTTTAGGAACTCAAACACATTTTAATTTTGTACTAAGTTCCTAAACTCCAAAAAAATATAAATGATATCCTCTCCATTAGTTCAAACCAAGGTTCACCATACCATGGCATATCGCTCGGTACAGGTGGTATGTCCCGGTCCAATCGGGGATCAGTACGAGCAGCATGTACTAGTCTATCGATACACCCTACCGTACCGTATGTCAGTACATCGATACATATCATACCGACAGCTGGTCGATACACCGGTACGAACCGCTAAGGCGAACTATGGTTCAAACTTCAAACTACCCATATTTTATAATGAATTGACGAAGAAAAAATAATATCATTATACAGACATGGCAAATCAAAAGTACCAATAGGATATGTACCACATCAAAATGGAAACATTCATTATTTTTTTTGTTATATTAAAATTTCATATGACAAACAATAAAGTATACCAACACGAAAAGAAACAAATGTCCTTTGATGACAACAGTTATCCTACTTATCCACCACAGTTGTCAAGATGCTGAAACAAACACCACTTGATCCAAACAAGATGACTTGGAAGTATTATTAGCATCTCATAGGTATATATATTTTTTCATAATTCCTTAAAATATGGTCCTCTTAACAAAGCATACAGCACATATCAACCATTTTAAGGTATCAATGTTTGCACAGATCATCAAATATTTATTCCGGTAATAAGATAAGTGGTCCTTGAGCTATTCGCGGGAGCAAAAGACATGATATTTTTGGCCTATTTCTCACTCATAATAAAAGGAAATTTAAGATTGACCACAGAGTGCATTGTCTTATTCTGAACACCTTCATAAGAAGATCTTCGCTTCCAGTTGGTGGATCTGAGATGATAGCAAGGAGTTCAGGAGAAGACCCTACAGTGCGAACCAAGATGGGAATCTGCCTGTGAACAGCCTGCACAGCTCCAATGGTTTTAAAAAATGCAGTTGATGAAATAGCTGAACAACATCTGTCACAAAGATACAACTTATGATTGAGATAAGGACTACACCTCTTTTGCAGCCTTTGATATGTTTTTATATATTGTGAAAATTTCCCTGAGAAGAGAATGCTTCTGCAAAGTAGCATGAGAATTTGACAAATTAATTCAGAACAAGAATTGAAGTATGAAAAAGCGCATAATGGAAGAGAATGCAAGCCTATTAATACCTTCGTGCAAAGGGCAAAATAAAGTGACATGCACCGTTGTGCCTCTGATATCAGAGAGGACATTACATTCTGATCTAAGTGGGTGCTGGACTTTAATGCATTGTCAGATTGCTGCCCTCTGCTACTAGATGGTTTTCCCAATTTAGAATCCTGCAAAAGTCAAAAACAAATAAATGGCAAGAATCATGCTATGTCAAAGTAAAACAGAAGTTTTCTTTCACAGGACAAAAGTCCATGCAAGATATTGAACAATAAAAACACTGAAAAATATCTTGTTTAACAGAGACTTCAAGAAACATGAAAACAGTCATGAGATAACCATCATCAGCCCAAGATAACCTGATGACTGAAAAATAGAGGTGACAGCTGGTAACAAAAGGCAGGCATGTTCTTCAAATTTGTTGTCAAATGACAGAATCTCCCATGACTTCAACAGTTATGTGAACATAGATACAGTATTACAACATCCACAAGATATTCAAAAAGAGTTCACAATAATTGCATCAGTACTGAAATCAACAAGGGAAAGTACAAACAAGATCAGCAGGACCAATCAGATCGAGTTGATGCAATCAAAATTACAGAAGTTAGTATTAAAAATATAAAAGTTCATGATAATAGAAAATAAAGAAAGAACTACAGAAAACTTCTAGAGCAAATTATATGCTAAAAATATTTTTGATCTACATATTTCATAAAATACCAAGCTTCCTAAAAAATGTGAGAGACAAAATTATACATTAGATAAGAATAAAATAATGAAGAATAAATCTTTAGAAGTAATTATTACATAATTTATAATAAAATCAGACTTCATATAAAGACAATAACATAGTAAATAACCAATATATATCATACAAAATACTCAACCACTTTAATCTTTAAAGATAGCAATAGAACCCAATAGGGCACCAATTCAGACAAATAGAACGGCAAACAAAGAAAACACTTATTAAAGAGAGTGCCCATCAAATATGAGACTACTGACAAAACTCACGAGATGTCTCTTCTATGTTAGGGGATATCATATTTCCTTAATAGGTTCAGGATCATCCTTTATTCTTCTATTTGCTTTCTCAATATCAAATCCCTTGTCTTATTGACAGTGGACAAAAGACATTGCAAACATTGCAATAAAGGTGGCACAGTTACAGAAATAACAAACACAATAGTCGCACCGTCTTTTCACAACCATAGTCATAGGTTTCTTTTCCATTTTAGCTCAATCACGATTTCCCTTTTCTCCTATTGAATTCTTTTCCTCTTTTCTCTTCCACTGAGGCTAGAAGTTGCCAATATCATCTCGCTCCAATCGAAATTGACCAAATCTAACCGATTTCAGCCAAAACTGAGTTGATATTGCATAGCAACAGTAGGCATCGGGTGTTTCTGAATCAACCAATACCATGAGTCATTTTCCTAACGGTCTTTTCCTAATTTGGCACTATTTTGAATTCTTCAGAAAGATTTTTATTCAAAGGCTAAACTAAAAAGAGAATCCTGAATTATCAGTAAATAGATACTGACGTAGTGCTCTAGTTCTTTCTGCACCCCATCCATGAACCAAAAGTGAAATTGCTTGACTTCCACAGCACACAACACTAGTTAAAAGTCAAGAATAGTGAAAAGGTCAAGATTCTTTTTAAACAAACCTCTTGCAATCCAGAAGTTGCTTCATCAGTGTCCATGTCCTCAATTGCAGGAACATCATCTATGACTGAGTGAAGTTTGTCATGAGCAAATTCTTCAATTTTTTGAGATACGCCTGGCATAGGAAACAGTTTATTTGCTACCTACAAGTATCAAAGAACAAAACAAGACTATATTAGATGAAAAGAGTATTGTTAACTCCAATTTCTAGAAGGTGTGACCTCCCATAAGAATTACCAGGCGTATTGCTTTCATCCGCACTTCTTCTGCAGAGTGTACTGCACTCTGTTGGAAAAAATAGAATAAGGAATAAAAATAGACATAATGATGGAAAAATTGATTGTACTTACTGCAAGAAAAAACCAAACTAATGCTAACTAATGAGTGGGGAAAAGGTGGATAGACCAGGTGAGATGAAAATTCCTGTTTTACCACCTATATAGCTCGATCACAAAGATAAATGCAGTGGATTGTTCTAGTTATCTTGCTGGATTTGCACCACTTAGCTCATGCCTCACTTAGACCAAACGAATTCATATGAGCAACTATTTGTCCATAATAAACTGGCACCACATTTTGGGAAAACATTAAATAAAATGACTACATATCTAGGCAGAACATTAAATGTTCTCAATCACAAAAACTACAATGACTACATATCTAGAGACATGCTGATCTGAGTCTTCAAATAAAACATTAGGCAGTGTCAAATGACAGTCACCCACAGAGATATTAGCAACTTCACCAACCGATTCCCATAAACAAAAGTTGATAAGAGAATAACACAACTAGAATACCTTGCGCACAAACAATAGGTAACAAACTAAAAAGTACATGTAAGGTCATCTTCATCCTTTGTTAATAATTCAGTCGCCCATTGAATTATGATTAGAAATAAGCAAGAAAGAAGGTACTGTCCTCCACTGTTGATGGCATATGAGAAAGGAACAAAACATTATGATAACTACTACTAGTACAAACTAGACAGTTTAAACCAGGAGGTAGTGCACATAATAGAAAGACACTTATTCCTTATTTACTGGTGTACTAGCATGGCGCTCATCAATCAAGAGGTGGCCATCAACAATTTCCAGAATGAAATTTGAGATTTTCAGGGCTTTCGTTTCATATTTGACAACTCAACTAGTAATTAAGCACCAACTGAAGCAAGAAAACTTTGCATAGAATACACTTCATGATCATCTATAACAACATGAAACTGTATAGATGCTGCACCTACTCAAAAGCTTATCCTTTCTTTCAATTATGATTATTCAAAAACTTGGTAAAAAATTTATACTCCAGAAGCATCATTTAGCCACTAAATTACTCAGCAACAAATAGCAATGTAATAAAAACACTTCTCTTATAGATAATCATTTCAGTGAACCAACACGCAGACTAAAAAAATTAAAAGCTCTGATATGCAGTTGCATAATCCAAAAATCCAAGTGCAAGTTAAAATATGAAAATTACCACCAGAACTATGATTTGATAATGCCATAAACTCAGAAATAATTTCCCTTTTTTCTCAAACCATGACCCCAGTAAATGTTGAGATCTGTCAATTCAGCTGTGATTTGATTTGATATGTCAAGATCTGCTACGATTTGATTCTTGACATGCTACTTTATTTGAAGTGATAGACTAGGATATAATTGCTGATTCATTCCTAGTTGCATTACCATATTTGTGTACATTTGCTAGTTGTATATAACTATATATACTAGATTAGCACCTAGATTTATTTAGGCAGCTCTTTCCTTTCTTTCTTTTCTCTTGTTTGACTATATGTACTTCATCCTATATACAAACAAAAGAGAGAAATGAGAAACTCAATTATATTATCTTGTTCCTGGTATTCGAGCAAGATTAGGTTCTGTTTTTCTTTTTCTGCCGTCTGTGGTATATGGTAAATTAGTTTCTTACTCTTGGCCTTAATTATCTAAAGTCCACTCTAGTGACTCTTCTTATTTCCAGCCATGTCTGAAACTCCTAAGTTTATTTTTAATCTTCTTAAACATGCCCACACTCAGTCTTCCCATCAATTTGAGAGTCATACCCATAAGATCTCTACTGTTAAACTAAGCTATCAAAATTTCATGAAATGGTCTCAATCCATGAAGATCTCGCTAATGAGTAACAGGAAGTTCAAATATGTGAATGGGGCAGCAAAGGCATGAGCCTTGGAAGATGCTTCATATGAAACTTGGGAGATTGAGAATGCAATGGTGATGTCGTGGCTATTTCACTCCATGCAACCAGAAATCAACAAGACATACCTTTTTCTTCCTACAACCTCGTGTGTGAACCAGGCGGCACGCTTCAATGAGGTGCCACTTGGGCGCTCGCTCGAACCTAGGGGATGGGCGCTTCTGGCGAGCGCCCAGTTCAATTAAGTGAACCGAACTGGTTCAAGTCTAGTTCGGTTCGTAGTTTCTTACCTCAAAAGCCACGCTTCACGCCCGCCCGACATCGAGGAACCCCAGCGCTGCTTCTGCCTCTGCCACCGACGCATTCTATTGCTGCCTCCGCCACAGACGTAGCGGATCGAGCCTTCCTCTGTTACAGACGGACAAGTCCGACGACCCCCGTAGCTTCCCTCCACTGTCGCTTCCTTCTAGTGTCAAGGGAGACGACCACAGGTTCCTCCGCGACCGACGAACACCCTCTGGAGCTGTCGCTGCTGCTATTCACAGCTTTCCCCGCTGTCATTGCTACTGTCCGCAGCTTCCCTCGCTGTCGCTACCACTGCTGTCGTTCACAACGCTGCTACAATATATTTTTAATCCTCCGCCGCAGTTGCTATCTCCCTTTGTTACTGAACAATTTTTTCTCCCCCCTCTAACTTTAAGTAAAATACTATTAACTATATGTTTTTAATTTAATATCATATTTTTATTTAAATAGATATATTTTTTTATTATATATTATATTATTTATTTTAATGAATTTTTTTTTCTCCCCCTCTAACTTAAGTAATTTACTGTTAACAGTATATTTTTAATTTAATATTTTTTATTTAAATAATTATTTGTTTTTAATTATATTATATATTTTTAATATTTAATATTTCAGAGCGTCTCGTTTCGCTCGAGCAAGTGCCTAGCACCTCGGCCGTTTTGAGACCTCGACACCAAAACCTAATGCTTTTTAAATCACTACCTACAACTAGAGATATTTGGGATGTTTGTCAATAGAACTTACTCCAAAGTAGGTTTTACTAAGATTTTCCAAATCAAAAGTCAAATTCAAAAGATGAAGCAAAGTACATCAAGCATCACAAATTACTACAATAATCTATGAGGTCTATTGGCTGAATTAGACCTATATCAAAATCTGGAGATGGAATCAGCTACCAACACTAAAAAGCTGAGAAATCTGTTGGAGATGGAGAGGGTATTTCAATTCTTATTGGGGTTAAATTATGAATTTGATCGGGTATGTAATCGTGTTCTTAGTAGACAACCTTTTCCTGATCTTGATGAAGCATTTACAACACTTCAAAGTGCTCAAAGCCAACAGGAATTGCTAAGCAGTAAACAAACAAATTATGGCAAGCACATGGGGGAAAACTCTGCCTTGGCAGGCTCAAAAAACTACCCAATGCCAAAGAAAAGATGGGAGATGATGTGATTATTGCAAGAAACCAAAACACACCACGGAGACATGCTGGAAAATGCACGATAACCGTTAAAACTAGAAAAACAATAAGAGTAGCAACAAAGGGGTTAGAGGAATGTAGGCAGCCACAGAGATTCAAGTTGGAGGAAATCAAAGGGGCTTCGAGTCACCTTTGTTCAGTAAAGAACAGCTAGAACATCTGTATGGACTTCTTAGTCAATCTCAAACCAAATCCATCTCCTACATGTTCTCATTCAAAACAAGGTAATATTCCCACTACCCTCCACATTTCCTCTAACCAAGCACTTTGGATAGTTGATTCGAGTGCTAGTGATCATATGACCCATCTTTCTCACATGTTCTCCTCCTATACTCCATGTCCTGTAACCTTAAAAGTTCATATTGCTGATGGATCTTTGTTGTCCCTAGTTACAGGAAAAGGTTTTGTAGTTCTCTCAAAGAATCTAATTTTCAAATTAGTTCTACATGTTCCCAACCTATCCTATAATCTCTTATCCATAAGCAAACTCACTAAAGATTCAAATTGTATGGCTAAATTCTTTCCATCTCATTGTGAGTTTCAGGATATGGGCTCGGGGAGGATGATTGGCAGTGCTAGAGAGGTTGATAAACTCTATTACTTTGACAGCAATGGTTCCTTGGATGGACAAGCTCAAGCTATACGTAGTTTCTCTTCCTTTTCTGATACGGATGAAATAATGTTATGGCACTATAGATTAGGCCATCCTAGTTTCAAGTACTTGAACAAGTTATTTCCTTTGCTTTTCAAGAATAAGAATACTCTCAATTTCAAGAATAAGAATACTCTCCTTTTTTTTACTCCATAGTAACATTTGGGAGCCTTCAAAAGTCAAAAATACTAATGGAACTAGGTGGTTCACTACTTTCATTTATGATCATATTAGAGTTTGTTGGGTATATTTGTCAAAAGAAGATTCTGAAAATGCTAGTGTTTCAATACTTTTACAACATGGTCAACACCCAAGTCCATGCCCAAATACAAATCCTTAGAACTGATAATGAAGGATAGTACTTTAAATCCATTCTTAAAAACTTTCTAATGGAAAATGGTATATTATCCATCAAACCTCTTATGTTGATACACCCAACAAAATGAAATTGCTGAAAGGAAAAACAACCATCTATCAGTGGTAGCTCGAGCCATTATGTTTACTATAGGAGTTTCTAAATATTTTTGGGGAGAGGCTGTACTAATTGCATCCTATTTAATCAATAGGATGCCAACCTGAGTATATCATTAACAAAAAACCCTAAACATCCTCCTACAAACCTATCGACAAACCCGTACCGAGCGGTATACCGTTTGGTATACAGCTCGATATATATATATATATATATATATATTTATTTATTTATTTATTTATTTATTTATTTATATTTATATATTTTTATATATAAATATTTTTATAAAAGGCGACGTCGCGTTGCCTCGACGACGTCACCTCGTTTATATATATATATATATATATATATAAGGTGACGTCGCGTCGCTTTTCCCTTCTCCCACACGGGGCGACGTTGCCTTTTATAATATATATATATATATATATATATATATATATATATATATGTCCGGTAACGGGCGATCCATGTACCAGTCAACTGACGAACCGGTACAGGCAGTATTATTCGAAACTGCATACCTTGGTCATAACTGCACCAAACTTGATCCGCGAGCGAAAAAATATGTTTTTCTAGGCTTCTCACCACCTTAGAAGGGATACAAATGCTTTGATCCTCTTGCAAAACAGTTCCTATATAAGTATGGATGTCACTTTTTTTGAAAATCAAACTTATTTCTCCCAAACTTCTCTTCAGAGGGAGAATCATATGGAAGAGAAGTTTTGGGAAACTATTATAACCCTACCTGTGAATTCTCCTTCTGAATTCATTCCTATCATACGTACATCTCTTGAAAATTCACCTTCCGAATCTATTCCTCTGACAGTCTTACCTTCTCAGCCACCATCCTATTCCATGTACCACCAATCCAATGTTACAACCTCAATCTATTGTGTCAGAACATATAAAATATGATGCGGGGAGAGACTTAGTGACTGATAAACAGCAAGCAGAGCTACGTGTCTATACAAGGAGGCATAACCAACAAGGTTTAGGGCAACAACCACACAATGTCTGCCAAGAGTTAGCTCCAAGTGCAATTGATCATTAAACTTCAAGTACTCCAGACCATTCTTTGTGCCTAGACCCTAGTGAGTTTCAAGATCCCGATGTTCCTATTGCTCTTAGAAAAGGAACAAGGTCATATATTATTCATCCTATTTCCGATTTTGTGTCATATCACAGATTGTCCTCCTCTTTCAAATCCTATGTTTCTAATTTGTCAAATACAAATATTCCTAAGTCTATACTTGAAGTTCTAGCTGTACTCGAGTGGAAAAAGGTTGTGTTCATGGAGATGAGGGCATGGGAGAAGAATGACACTTGGGAACTTATAAATTTACCTAAAGGAAAGAGACATGTTGTTTGTAAATGACTGCTCACAGTGAAATATAAAGCTGATAGGCCAATTGAGACATACAAAGCAAGACTAGTGGCTAAAGGATACACTCAAACATTTGGGATAGATTATCAAGATACTTTTGCACCCATGGCAAAGATGAACAGTGTTCGAGTCTTGTCGTCTCTTGCAACATTTTTTTATTAGCCTCTACAACAATTAGATGTTAAGAATGCTGGTAGCGGAAAGTTAGACAAATCACACCATGTTTTATGAGCATGCTGGTAGTGGAAATGTCTCAATACTCATTGTGTATGTAGATGACATTATATTGACGGGTAACGATCTTGTATAGTAAATCAGATATATCAGTATAGTAAATCAAAACATTTTCAAGGTGCCTTTAACCATCACTAGAACTCCAACAAGGAAAATTCCAAGGATTTTAATTTCGAATGGCATCGCCCGTACCGGGCGATACCATCGATTGGGGCTGTTTCAACCCCGTTACCACACAAAATCGATCGATGACAGTCAATTTCGACCGTCGCTGCCCGCTACCGGGCAGTATTAGCCGAGGGAGAAGAAAATGGAGAACCTGGAGATCCGGCGCTGCTCTCTCTCGACGATCCCGATCTGTCACCACCCTCCCTAGCCGGACACCACAGATGAGATGATGCCACCTCCTCCTCGTCTGAGGTGACAAGGCCTCGGTGTCGTCGGCGACTTCTCATCATCCTCGCAGGGAGAAGAAACGAGACAACAACGTCGCCTCTTTTTTTTTTTTAACTTTTTCTTATTTTATATTTATATATACACACACACACACTGAGTCATACGCCATAATATACCGTTCGGTATACTCGTATCATACCATACTGTAGCGAGCTAAGCTTGATACTCGTACGGTACGAAATTACAAATCTTAAAAAATTCACAAGACCAATTCTGCTAATTCACATTATATTGAGTTCAAAATTTTTCTTTGGACCCACAAAATCCTTTGCCGTCAGCTAGCCTAGAAGAAAATATGCCGAACACTAAAGAACAAAAAAACAAACAAATACAGAAGGCCAATCAGAATAACAAGAATTGCTAGACAAAAAACAACTCTTAATACAAGAGATCACAAAGATAGAACATGAAATTTCAGAGGTAATGCAAATGAAAAGCCAATACCTGTAAAGCAACAAGGAGACATCTAGCTCGACTGGAAGGTCTAAGCAAAATTAGATTCCAAACAGCACTCAGGCCTTGAGTAACTCGGTCACCATTTTGAAAGTCCTTTTCAAGTTTCTCACTTCTGTCAGGACAGCACAAACCCTCCAACAGTTTCAACACTCCCTCCGACAAGTAAGGCACTTCAGCAAGCAATCTGCCTAGTGATTTATCTGTGGCAGGGAAGGTATCTCGAAGGGACTCAGCCTGAAGGGCAATAGCACGGTTATGCAGGAAAAATCAGATAAATATCAAATACAAGAAGGATCAAAACATACCACGGCCAAAAGAAATGTTTCATAAATTGATATAGCAGTCCTTGATGAAAGAAAGTCTTGATCCTGCTCCGTTTCCCGATATAACCTGTATAGGATACGCAAAGTCAACTCGTGTCCCTGATAACATTGAATTCGTGAGTTAGGAAACCGGATTTCAGGAACAATAAATGGAAGATATGTAGAAGCCTTTATTAAATCAATGTCATGCAGAAAAAATGTTCGATAATAAGTCAACTTATAAGACTTCCTGCAATTAAAGAACTAATTTAAACTCAAAATAAAAAATCAAATAAAAAGAAAATTAATATATTAAGAAAAAAGGTCACTACATTTAAATCTCTTTTATCGAATAAGAAATCGAATTAACAAATCAATTATGTAACCTGAAAGAATTACAACAACAACAACACCATAAGTTCCAAGCTTAAACCCTAAACCTGAAAGAACTACAAAATCAACAAATAGAACAAGATTATATTTACTCAATCTTCTGCCATCCCTGACTAATATTATACATATATACACACGCCTGATCTAAAACAAATATTAGAAGTTTCATAATTGAAAAGAACCCCCACCCTTCCCAACCTCTCCACTGCCATTCTTCCATGCTGGCTGTTGTTGTCCCATGCCGCTGTTTCTGTCCCATGCCGCTGTTGCTGTCTCGTGCCGCTGCCGACCTACATTGCCACTTCTACTCCTTCCAATCAGCTCTAACTCCCTCCAACACTGCTTCCACTCTGCCATACCACTACAGTTGTCCTCATCCGCCTCTCCTTCCGCCCCACCGCCATACCACTACAGTACACCTTTCAAAATGTGTAGCTCTCTTTATCTCTGTCTATCTATCTATCTTTCTGTGCTTTTCGTGGTCCAGTGACTCCACACAATATAGACCAGTGCTGAACCATACCAACACTTTGTACACAGGCAGTACCAACACTGTACTGGTTCAGCCGCCAAACAAACATTAGAATCAAACTGAAACTTTAATTCTAGTCTTGGACAACTGTATAATTGTTGTTTAAATGTTCTGTAATTTCTGAACAATCCAACACTCCTTAAGCTCTTGACAATATTATTAAGAAGATATTTTATGCTTTATTAGCCTAGTATCCATATGGAATAATTGCACAATTTTCAATTTTTTCTTCCTATGAGCTTCCATGCTTCGGATAGTATCCATGGAATACTCAACACCAGCTCACCAGTTTGTGCAATTTATCAGTTAATCAAAGATGTGTGCATATTTTTGTACAAAATGCAAATTAACAAACTTGTCAACTTAGGCATGTCAATTATCCAAAAAAATCTTCAGAAAATAAGCAAACAAATGTATATATAATATGATCACAACAAGAGAGAGCAGATATCCATACAAAAGCCAGATATATGATCAAGTGCATGCTGTTGCATATAATATGTATGTATCCTTTTTAGTTTGGACTGGTCATTGACCGATTGAGCTAATCAAAAACACGGTTTGGACAGCTTGGTAATTAAATTGTCACCAAATCAGATAACCTAAACAAAATACTAATGATCCAGAACAGTGATTTCAATAGGCGCTCGCCTAGGCGCTCGGGCAAGGCTCGAGCGCCTCGCTTCATTTCCAAGCGGCACGCTTCAAAGAGGCGCCGCCTGGGTGCTCACCCGAGCCTAGGCGCCGGGCGCTTCAGGCAAGCACCTGGGTTAAACCAAGCGGCCGAACCAGCGTTTGAGGTATGATTCGGTCTCCAACCCTAACCCTGCTTGTCGTTCACGCAACTGTCGCCACTGCTCGCTGTCGTCGCTCACCACTCTCGCTGCCGCTCCCACTGTCGTCGCTCCCGCTCCCGTTGCCGCTGCTACCGTTGCCACTGTCTTCGCTCACCGCTTCCGCTCCCGCTGCTCACTGCTACCGGTGCCACTGTCGCCGCTTGCCGCTCCCACTGTCGCTGCTGCCGCTGCCACTGTCGTCGCTCGCAGCTGCCGCTCCCGCTCTTCTCAGTCAACACCTTCGATCTTCCGACTCTTCCCTTACACTCTTCTCCTCTTTCGATAGTATATTGTTAACAGTATACTGTATACTGTTAACTGTATACTGGTAATAGTATTCATATTTATTAGATTAATTTAATAGCATATTTTTATTTAAAATTTTAAATAATTATATTTATTAATTATATTTTATATTTTTATATTTTAGCGCATCACTTCGCTCAAACGAACGCCTAGCGCCTGGGGCGTTTTTGGACCTTAGCGCCTTTTGGCGCCTAGCGCTTTTTAAATCACTGATCCAGAAACAAAATTGACCATTTTGGTTAACCAACACTTTTTATTTTAATTTCCAATTTTAAATCGGTTTTCTGGTTTTCTGGCAATATATTAATACCATAGTCAATTATCTATTTCTGCAACTATGTGGGGTGACTTCCTACAAGTAACAGATTCATTTAGGCAGGAATCACATAATGACTTAATCAAAAAAGGATTACAACATAGTGCTTTTGATGCATCACCTATAAAACTTTCAGAATCACAACTAGGTTGCAGATCAAGCTCAACTGTCAAATACTCAAATGGACTTGATCAGGCTAAAATTCTACAAGAATTAATGATTAGCAAGATAGAAGTATATAAATATTTATTTATTAAAATGTATAGTAAAACATACACAAGAACAGCCTGAGTAAACAGAATGCTAAAAGAAAAAAAAATTGTAATCATTGCCTAGTTTAACAAAGAAGAGAAGATTATTTGTTCAAAGACATTTTCAAGAAATCAAAGATAATGCAGACAATCTGGTAATTACCTCATGGTCCATATAATCAGACAGAACATGTTTTTGCAAAAGCCCCCAAGAATCTAGCTCCAGCGGGAACTACAGGAGAAATGGATAATTCATTAAATATGTTGACCACTAAAGGAATTGATTTCACCAAAAGAATAAGAATAGAAAAACGGTACATGTCATGACAGTAACCAAAGAGGAGGGCAAAAAAAAAAAGAAATTAAATAACTTATGCCTAAACTACAATAGAGAAACCAGAAAGAGGAGAAGCAACATGTATATTCATAAGCATACATCTACGCATCATGCATTTATGCATGTTTCTGTGTATGCACACGTATAAGTGATTTGAACCATAGAACAGATTAAATCAAGCAAAGAAGCACTCATTTCCACCACTCAAGACAAAACAACAATTGCAAATAAAGAGACTAAGAAAACTCCATCAATCATACAGTTTCAATCAACAGTATCAGAGAAACATAGATTCGAAATAAATGATATTTAAGCTCCAACCGACAACTGAAAGGATAGGGAAGGACATTGTAAAAGTATCTGCAGCAATATGCCAATCTGTATATATAATAACAACCATATTTATTAAAACTGCATTTTTATATATGCATCATTGCCTTCAAAGACCCCAATAGAAGTCCGAAGGAATATGTTGATGTTAATAAACAAAAGCAACCATACTTCGTAGAACTACATTCTAACTTTTGCATCTTCTTCACCTTCAAAGATCCAACAAATGTCAGATTCAAAAGTGTCCAATTTATACTGCACAATGATAAAATAGCAAAGGAATAAGAAACCAGGCAGCAATTCTGCCAGAGAACAAGTAAACCTTTCTTTAAATACTCATATTCTAAGATGTTTACAGGAATCACATGGCTTTTAAGCATGAGGGTATATACCTCAATCCCCAAATGAGCAAGCAACGAACAGCGAGCATCTAACCCACCAGAAATTGCTACTTGCTTATAAGCATCAAGTATGCGAACAAATGCCACTTTTTGAAGTTGATCCTTAGCTTCATCGGTTAGATTAACATCAAGAATCATCATCTTTGGTAGGACACACTGGCATGAAGTGACAAGAGAAGCTGCAGAAGATGCCTGACTAGTATCAAAAATACCTACTCCGGTACTCTGGGTTTCTGAAACATCAGTTGCCATGGAACAAGTTGACAAAATATTAGAAGGCACTAAACTGCCCAAACTTGTGGCATGATCTTGACTAGAATCATTCACTTCAGGGTTCGAACAATGAGAAGCATCATGTGATTCTTGGATTTCATCAATAGAACTGGTTGAATCAACACCGGGTATTACTCTCTCCTCTGTTGCCGAATTTAGAGACAATGAAACGACTGAACTGCCATTTTCAGTAACAACTGGAAATGGTGAAACTGAAGCAGGCAAAGTAACAGGCATCATTGCACCACCATCACCTCCACTAGAGGATAGTAAAGTTGTCTCTACTGTATCCATTACTTTTTCCTCGCTGCTCTGATGGGATTTCTGCAATTGGAAGGCAAAATGGGATAACCTTAAATCACAACTCCATAATGAATTGCATACTTTGAAAGAAAAACACAGAAACTTACAGCAACATCATGAGACATTGAAGGTTGTATATTAAGTAGTGACGCGAGAAGAGGACTCAAACTTGACAATGAATGAATATCTGAAATGAGTGGTGACAACTGTATAGATGACAAGACACTGCTATCTAAGCAAGAAGGATAACCCGTTTCGGAGGCCACATCATCTTTGTCAGTCTTAGGACATGTTGGAGGGAGATGTTGCATATTAGCCATAACTACTTCTGCAAGCAAGTCAGAGGAGATACTCGAAATAAGAATCTCCAGTGAACCAGCGGCTTTTTCGCCTTGCGCAACCAAGGCACCAAACATAGCAACAAGTTGCTGCACAGGTCCAGAGCTCTTATCCCTAGAAGATACAGAACCAACCACAGGAACACTATTTGATTCCTGATCAGCAGTCACCTGAAGTGGTTCATTTGGCAGATCCTGAGCTGTATGAGTTGACTGTCTTATTCGTTTAACAGAAAGACAATCATCTTGCAGCAAATCATTGTTCAATTCAGCTACAGGCCTCTTACGCACAAGATCACTACTTGCCTCATCACATGCTTGCAATGATGAATTATCATCCTGCAATTGATATAATCCATTTCAAAAAGGCCCAACAGAGACGTATCAACTAGTCCACAGACCTACATCTTAGTTGCCAAATCGAAAGATAGGCTTACCTTTAGGGGTAATGACTCTTCATTGCTTATAGAAACACCTCCAGAATTCTTATTAGTTGCCTGGCCTGACAACTCACTATCATTAATAGCTTTCAGAGCTTCCACCAAGCGGGCACGCCACTGCAGACAGAAAATACAACATACACTTCAGAACATTCTCAAAGTTCAAATAGTTTTACACAACATATCTCAAAAAAATCTGCAAAACAACAGAAGTATTAGATATAATAATTATTGCTTGTAGGTTCTCCTACATGTAAAAACAATCTCTGACAAGATAACAACCATGAACAATGTAATATATAAAATAGACATATCATTTCAACATTTTAAAATAAAATGCAATCAACATTATTTATATGAACATCATGAGAGTTAACAGAAAGAGTTACCGGTTCAGCACTTGAGTGTGTACATTCCAAACATGCCACAAAGGCAGTTTTTAGGGCATGGTGTGCACCTGGGACTTCCACCGCTTTCACAATTGAAATAGCCGGATCCAAGCCGAGTAAAACTGGTAATATGCGTCCATAGAAGGAAGGCCTTTTCGTCGCAATAGCTGAGAGACTGGTAGAAAACATCGAGCCAGCCAACGAAATGGTAGGTTTCAAGTACTTTGTAGCATATGCAATTTAAACAAAAACGAACCACTATATATCACAGTGCAAACCAGAATTCATCAAGAAAATGATATCAGGTAGAATATAGAAAAAGCACAGATTGATGTTATACAGAATTACCTGAAACTAAAATGACAAATTAGCACCTATCATTCCAAGAAGATGTTACAACATGCAACTTTTGTGTTATCACCAATAGAGGCAGGAATAAGAAAGCATTACAGAATACAAACATAAACCAGTCTGACAATATGCATTGTCATCAATTATCGTAAAACAAGGATTGTGTTTAACAAACTAGAATAGATGTGAATATAGTCATAAACTTCATAAATGTACTACACACTTGTACAATATGTGTGAAGCTACTTTATCAGACTGTAATAACTGAAGCTATTTCATGAGCTGGAAGGTCATCAGATATCCCAGTTCCAATCATTTAATTAATCTTCCTAAACAAGATACCAAAACCAGACAGGTGGCAATTAGCAAGGATCAGAGGCATGGCCATATAAAACAACAAGTCCTGCAATATCAAATCTTCTACATAGCTACTTCCATCAATGCCCAAAGAAAGCATGGATCTACTATTATTATTATTATTTTATATATATATAGGTGCACTCCATGCCTTATGACAAGTTACAACTCAAACACCCCAAGTAAATAGTGTCGGAGGATGTTCCCCTTGACAGAGAAACAAGCAAGAAAACATGTAACAGGCCATACAATAGTTTCCAACAAGAAATTTTTTCTTTAGTTGGTGTAAATCAATAAATTTTTGCATTGACTATGCAAGTCTACTTGGCTAAGATGTCAATGATAAATAATTGATTATATTAACTGGTACTGATATTATAAAAGCATGGACGAACTCTTTTTACGTGTAAGAACAAGAATTTGGGCGTACAAGTCGGCACTCAACCAGTAGCATCTATTGGATCATACATATCATGCCCCTGCTGGGCAGTGCCCATGCTAAGACAATCCGTTCCAACGAAAAGATACTTCCAGAAGAAGTCCCATGTCAATAAAGATGCATATAGTATCTGAAACAATAGCCACTATAACATGACAATGGAAGTCATAACAGTTCTTGGAAGGGTCCTATCATCATACATTGGGATGGCCACAGAAATAAAAGGAGCTAGTGTTACACATTTTCTATTTGCGAGATGTAAAACAGGTGTAACTTTCAATTCTATATCATGATAATTTATACCTTGAATTGAATTCAATGACACCTAAACTGATAGTTATCAGCCAAAACAAACATTGTTTTTTACTTTTTCATCATAATCGTTGAAACAGATGACAACAGATATCACAATGATATGTATTTAAATGACAAAAACTACTGATGTGAAAACAATGATGACCAAAAAAACTGATTGCATAAAGGTTCCACAAACGATAATAAATGAGTAATATGTTCAAGGTTTAAATTTTTAGTCCGAAACCTATACTAGTCCCTGGTTGAATCGAGTATGGTTCCAGTATGGTGGGGCATACCGACCATGCCGACCATGAGTCCAGTCGAGGAGGAGAAACAATGGTAGTGGAGGAGGACGAGGAGGAGGAGGAGGGAGGGAGGTGGTGGCAATGGAGGAGGAGGAGAGAAGGAAGATGAGGAGAAGAAAATTGTACCAAATGAGATGGCGGGTGGCTATATGAGGGGGAGAAGGTGCGGTGACAGTAACAACAGTTAGATGGGAGCAGCAACAGTCAAGGCTACAAGGTGGAGGGAAGAGACAGGAAAATGGGAAGAAAATGAGAAAAGAAAAGGAATAAGAGAAAAGGTTGTCGAGGCCATCAACAACAGTTTTCAGCCAGAAAGGAAATTTTGAAAAAATTACAGGTTTCGATTGGACCGAGCAAATTGCTCAGCCCATGCACAGTTTCCCTATCAAACTAGTAAGTATCAGGCTATAGCAGACAACTCGCCCAGTCTATGCCAGTTCCCTATCAGATCAAAAAATACCAACTCATACAAAGTGGTACATCCGGTATTTAAAACCTTGCACATGACAAAATATTCCCCATAAAAAATATAAGGAAAAGACATTTGTACTTCATGGCTAATTGATTTCAAAGTCCAAAATTATTAGCCTATTATAATCTAAAATGTCTCAAGTTGAATATTTCTTGTTATATGCCTCCCATGTACTATATCAAAAGGATAAACTTCTAACACAAGGCATGATGCTCTTTGTCTATCAAAGATGTTTACAGGAAGGAAAAAAAAGAAGCAATAAACAAATTCTGTAAAAGAACTAATCTAAAGTAAACATATCCAAATGGGTATATGATAAATCAATTGCACTTTTGTTCCTATGCATGACTGCTTCAACAAGTTATAAGAAAATGAGAGGTGTTCCAACACCACCCTTCCAAATGCAGAGGAAGGTAAGAATGCTCTTGCTCAGTCCAAAGACTACATGAATGGACATTATCAAATGTGAGGTAAGGCAAGGAAAACTAACCTTTTGATTAGCACAATAATTATTGAGTTACTAAGTGATTTCACTTGTGGGGACCGCAGATGATCAAGTAATAATCCCAAGCTCTGACTGGCTTCCATGGCTAGCTCTCCAACATTAAGCGAAGGATGACCACCCCTTAGCCATGAAATATTGAAACCTAGCCCTGTAATAAGTACAATGAACATTTCATTATTTTGGCAGTAAAATGGGTAGTCAAAATATGAAATTATTTCTTTTCTGAATTTAGAAGTTTATAATTACCATAGACAGGTTCTTGAGGTGGATCTGCGGAAATGTAAGGATCTGGTGTATAAAGAAGAACCAATGTCTCAACAAATTTCACAGCAAGCAACCTAACTCCATCACTTCCAGACTAGGTGAGAAAATATTCTATCAGAATGGTAGCAAAGCATCTCAAATTAATCTAAAGCGCCGAGAGAATAACATAAAAAATACCTGGACAGCAATATGGAGTACTGCATCTTTGAACTTTAGCATCCATGCCCAAGATGATTTAGTGGAGTCATCTATTTCACTAGAGTATAAACCCTAAACCAAAAAACAACAAACAATCATCTGTAATCCTCATTTGCAATAATTTAATCAAGAAACACTATCTTACTTGACTGTTAATTTTGTTGTCATTGCCTTCACATTTCTACATGTATTGATAGTAACGGCATACAACATTCACTAGTACACCAAGACACCAATTTCAGAAGTAATACAAGATATGAATCAGTTCTGCCGGGTTGTTAGTAAAAATTATGTATGCAAGAAGTGGTGCAGCTTCCTCTCCAACATCATGTTTACCATTTCTGCTCCTCCAATAGCTGCCAAACACTTCTGTTCTTAAACATATACGACAAAGAAGAATCTCTAGAATCAACCTTAGTTGAGCACAACTGTTTTACCCATGTTTTCTTTACTATTTATGTCATTGTCATATATTTCAACAAATGTGATGGCAATTTAGTAGAAATAACCAATATTTGAAATACAAGATTTTGATACATATGTTCTAGGACGCTTCTGCACAACAATATTTTGACAGTCTCACCTTCATACTCATCAACTACAAGTCAAATAATGAACAAGATATGCGAACATGATAAGATCACCATGACAATTATGTGACTGTAGTCAACCATGGATGAACATGAAGATTCTAGTTTAATAATCATCAATATATGTTTATTAAGAAGAAGAAGAGAATGCCCTTTAACATCATACTTGATGCTGAATAAAATCATTCAGTTTTTCCATGATCAAAAGAAAAAAACAACATTCTGTTATTATCTTCAGGTCTCAAAACAGGAACAAGCTTGGTGTTCAACAAAAAGGAGGGGTTTCTTGCAACTAATGCACACTCAGGATATTACATGTCACACACAGACACACTAATTAAAACCCAGCCCAGGTAGGGCACTCATAACAACCTTTCATTTCTATAAAATTTTCAAAGCAAAACAGGTTTTCAAAAAAAAGCAGATGAACTTATTTTTCCCAAAACATACAAAAATAGCATTCTCGAACATGTTATGTCACTCTCAAGATTTAAGAACAAAATAGAATAAAAATCAGGCATAACTCGAATGAAGCAATCACCAACTTTAACTTAAACTTGAGAAATAAGATCCCAAAACAAAGAGGTGAATGTATCAACATTCTTCTTGTATATTTCAGCTGGCTCATTTGTTATCCTTCTCTCCCTTCATAATGGAGAACTACCACCTCAAATGTAGAAAGTAGTTTAACATCACATCACCATATGGAAGTATCTTTTTTCCAGGCAACTTCAACTTCAGCAACCTTCTAATACTACCACCACCCTTTTTTTTTAATACTACCACCTTATACTTCAGCTCCAGCAGAACTCGACGGTTTATCTAGCGGTTATTATTTTAAACTAAAGGCTACTATCACCTAATCGTAATTTGAGCTACTTTTGTCTATCAGCCAGGAACTAGAATATGCTTGTCTGGTCATGCAGTCCTCTTGCTTTTATAACTTGACTATGCTAAGCGACACATACAACAAAACAATTCACACTTTTTGTAGTATGCCATTAATATCCCATCAGGTATTGTAAGTAGTAACACATACTCTCAAGGTTTTTACCAGGAACAACAATTTTTTTGGCCACAAATTACCAGTCATTCCTTACTTTTATAACTCGACCTTGCATGCAGTTTTAATTTTGGGTCATATTCGAGCTTGAAAAGTTTGTCAAGCCCTAAAATGGGATAGATCATAATGACCACAAGTTTAGTCTCACATCGAGAAGTTGGCAAAAGATTTGAATTTGCTAATAATGATGTGATAGGAATTCTACCACTAGCTTGGACTCAAGCACTTTCGGACAGTTGTTCAGTTTCGATCAATGAAGTTAGTGAGTTAGTTATTCCATCGGATCAGGTCGTATAATTTTTCATCATTGACCATGAGCATAAAAAAGAAGGGTTACATAATGCAATTGAAACCAATATAGAACTTTGTCAAATCTTATTGAGCATGGATATATTATCCCCTTCCCTCAAAAGATCCACGAAGAGAAAATGGTTATGGCCTAACGCTTATGACATAATAGTTGGGATATTATGGCCTAATGTTACTATATTTCCAATATTATTTGTTTGCTAGCTAATTTCTTTATGTTAGATTTTTTGAGATATAGTTTATTGTTATAGATATTTATGATTGCGGATTGCGCAGACAGACTGACTTCTCCTAATGGCATATAGAAAGGTGGTAGAGGAGGTGAGCTCAGGGAAGGAAGGTGTGGGCAAGGCGATGACAAAACCTAGGAATCCCGCTGGTCAATCAAAAAAGAGGAATATAGTTCCAAGGTCAACAAAGCATAGAGATCAATCGAAGCATAGGTCAAGGAATCAGGAACCTCCCTTAAGCCTTCTTTCCTGGCTGTGAATGAAGTGTTTTTCCCTGCTATGACCTTTGTCACAGTGGATATGGTATCAAAACCAGTAAATGGCTATCTTATTCTTCATGGAACCCTTGTGTATTGGCATGAGGAGTGCCTTTTCTCGAGATTGTTGGCATCCAATTGTAATCACATCTCATGGTGTAAAAGAAGGGAACAAGACTAAGGTCAGTCACCCACCTGTCAGATAATGCTATTCCAACGCACCAGGAGGAGAGAGATAGAGAGAAAAGAATCCGCAAGCCTGAAGCTGTGATTGAGAGAGGCTGCCATCCCTTTCTAAGCCTTAAGCTGTGATTGACAGGTTCCCATCCCTTTCTGCTAGCCCGTGAAGAATACGAAGCTAAGTTGACCCCCCTTCGACAGACCTGTAAGCTCGTGGAAGGTAGAAAGGGAATCTATTCATTCAAATAAGCGGGTTACCTGACAGAGCTTGCAGAGGTAGAAAAGCTATTCGGAATCGGATCAGGGAGATGTTTTCGTTAGAATGATCGACATACCGCCTTGACCACTTAAAAGACAGGTTCAAAGAAAGGCTTAGGAAGTGTCCGGATTATGATTCCAGCATCGCATTAGTCTCTCCGGTAGTGCAGGTCTATACGATATGCCTAGGAAGCGTGCAGATTATGATTCCAGCATCACTTGTTGATTTTGTTGATTCTATTATATGTTAAATCAATGATCATAGTCATATCTATGATATGACGAATATTTTTCAACCAATCAACACTCAACGTAGGGAACCAAGTCAGCCACAAAATAATAAGAAAAGCCAACAAGGCTTATCATGTTGATTCAAAAAATATTCATCTAGCACTTATAGCTAGGATCTCCGGACTATGAATAAGGGTCTCTCGAAGTACAGTATGCTCTCTTTAGCACTTCCAATTCTTACTTGGACCTTCTCGATCTTCAGCCCCTACCTCAGGCATTTTCCAACTTGAACGTCGGAGGGGTCTTGACGAGCACACCCACAGAACATGTTTTGTAGGGAGTCCAAAGACCGATTCGGGAGCCAAACCATTCACTCAAGCCGGCAAGGCTGCTTGAATAGTTCCCCAAGGAACTCAACTCAAGAATCTACAACCCCACCCACATCTCAAGATTCCAAGTTGGAATTCCGAGTGAAGACCTCACCTCAATATTTGTGTAGACTTTTGAACCTCAAATGCAACAAGATTTGGAAAAGCTAACTAAGTGAGATCAATCTCAACACTTTGAATTGGCTACCAAATTTGACACTCACATGGCCCATTACACGTATTCCAAACTTACTCATATTTCTTTAGCATGGTCAACAGAACACCATGCATTCATGATATCTAACATGGCATATATACCATGAACATAGAAGAGAAGATAATACTGGTGAATGTTACTTATGCCCACATATGGTGGGCAAACTAATATATGACACAATTCTTACACAATAGGTCAATAATTTGCTGCCTTCTTTCTCAAAATTCAGAGATCTAAAAGTTCTCCCAGCGCTTAAGTCATTGCAATTGACCGCTAATAATTCTAGTATATAACCGTTCACTTGTGGCAATTTAAAGTAAATATTAAATATACAGAAGAACCTAGAAAAAAGCCATCTAAACCAGTAACTATACATGGAGATTAAATCATCAAAACCCATAAACAGAGATAAAACATAACAGTATGTCATTGACAACTTAAAGAGAACTCATCCATCTGTAAATTTAAGTTAAATGCATCAATCTAACCTGAATTACAAGCTTTTCTAACACATATCCAAACAGAGAGGTCCCCGTTGTAATTGCTTGACGAGCGACAGCCGGAGTTTCATCCTTTAAAAAGGCTATTAGACAAGGAACCATCTCCGGCAGCAATTCTATATGCTTGGATCCAATGTCACCAATCATCCTACGTTAATTAGAAGCATGAAGAAAGTTCCATTACAAACCTTAAAAAATACTAAGTGCAAGAATTAAGTTAGGGCAAAGGGAATCAGCATAACAAAATATTGAGATGTGAAGGATTCGTCCCATGTTTTAATTAGGGCTGACCTGTATTAGATCGGGTAAAGCTACTATCAAACTTTCACAAACACTTGAACCATGTTTATGATGCACTTTAAAGCCATTTAGTCTATGAATGGGTGTCTACAAGAATTAGTTTCCTGTTATAAAACCAATATAGCTAATTTCAAGCACATTTAACACAACATCAATGGAAGCATGGAAACCAATCTTCTAGTTCCAACCTTTAATTAATAGGACCCTAGAAGGACCCATATACATTATAAAAGAGATGCACAAGTGAAAGAAAAAGAAAAGCAATACAAATTATTCTTCCCAGCTTGTTCATGAATTTGAAGCAACAGTTGAGTTGGAACATCTTGACAAATATCCATGATATGGAAGCAAAGAGAATGTTTCACCGTGGGCCCTTGTATCTTTCCATATGATCTTATCACTCTGTAATTGTATTCATCAATTCTTATCAGCTGTCGCTATCGGATTATCACTTCAGCATCAGACTATAATATATTTGTAGTCAATAATAAGTCCTTATTAAATGATAGCAGTAGCACAGAGGCAATGATAAAAAAAATGTTCTAAAAAATATGTCTGAATATAATTAATTTTGGGGCATACAGAAATATTAACAAGCATATATAATCAAAATGTATCTATATAAATGGATAACATGGCTAAAGTTAAGACCTGATGTTTTAGAGTGATGAGGAATGTACAGTAACCTGAAATCGAGTGAGCAAACAGATAGAAGAAGGTTTAACTTTTTGAGAAGAAAAGATTCATCCTAAAGGAATGTAGTTACTGTAAAGCCCTTACTAGTTACATGAATCACTGAAAACTACCAACAAATGCCTTCATCAACCAATTTAAAATTATCTGTTTCCCATTCTAATAGGACCAGTCGGTCGTAGTTAGGCAAGTTATGTCATGTCACCGGAGCTATAATAGGATAATTGACTCTTGGATGCCAACGTCTCATCTAATGGACTGCTGGTTTCATGAAATAGACTGTTACAGAATATTTCTGCAGCTTCAGATTCTCAAACCTATATCATTTCCTTCCCTCTTGCTGATGATCCAGGTTCATACCAGTTCCCCGCGTGTCTTTCCGCAAGTTATGTCATGTCAACCAAGAATCAATTCAGTCCTTCTGTAAATTCCCATATCACCAAATAGAAAAAGATAAATTCACGTAAATTCAGTCAACCAAGAATCAAATCAGCCATTTTTCTTGGAAGAAAAATGACTTCCTCTTTTCATTCATTTTCTATTGCAACCAATCAACTAAGAATCTATTTGGCTCGGCTGTAAATTCGCGTGCTACCGAATACAAAAAGAGACGCCTTGTGACCAGAAACACATTTTCTTGGAAGGAAAAGATCTTCCTCTTCTCTTTCTTTCTCTACTCTAACCAACGGATGGAGGCAAAGGTCGCCCCTCCATCACTCACGCATCACCGAATTTCGAAAAGCACGAACACGAACAGGGAGCCGAAAGAAACGAAGAAGAAAACCAAGAAAGCAAAACAGAAAGGGGGCTTACTCGGCGAGGAACTTTCGAATGGGGCTGGCCCGCTCACTCTGGAGCTCGGTGAGGCGCGTCACGAACTCGGGCAATAGGGGTGGGTCGCGGTGCAAGAGGACCGCCTTCAACTGCCGCAGCTGCTTCAGCTTCGAAGGCACCTCGCCGGCCGTTCTTGCCGACTCGAGAAGCCCGACCGCCCGCTCGCCCCAACCCGCCGCCGTCATCGCCGCCATCGGCGCCGGATCGAAACCCTAGGCTTCTTCGGTTGGTGGATAGGCCTCGCGCGTCGAGACAGGAGAGAATGGCGAGAGTGCAGCGGAATGCCACTCCGGCGAGCGTCAAATGGATTTGACCGGAGCGCGGAACGGAGGAGGAGAGAACAAGGGTCTCGGCAGCGTTATAGGAAGACAGAGTTGGCCTCCGTCGGGTAAGAAGGGGCGGTTTTATGGTGCTCCGCCGGACCACGATAAGGTGATAGTTTCGTTAGTTGGGGAGGACGTTAGGGTTTGTCAATCCTATCGGCAAAACTCCATTAAAAAAATGACAAAATAAATATACAAAAAAATAATTACTCATAATTTAGTCTCAGTTTTATTTTTTTTCATTAATTCTGTACCAAATTGGATCTTTAATGATCATTGACTATTATAAGAAATGTTAGCGATTTTGAAGTCAAAAGTGCTATTTTTGTCTTTGAATTGACAAATAAAAATCTTATGTTTCAATTTTGTATATAAATATCTTAAATTACATTATACTTCATAATGCACCAAATAACATATATTATATGAATTCATATTTTATATATATATATAAAGATGTTATTTTTAATATAATAACATATATGATATTAATTTTTTAATTAGCTTGGTTGGTAAAAGGCTTTAGCCATTAATAGTAAGATATTATGGGATCAAATCTCACCTTCACTATTTATATTTTTTAATTTTATATATATATATATATATATATATATATATATATATAAGAAAGAAGGAAAATAAAAGAAAACTAAAGAGTTAAAGAAAAGAAAATTTCATGTTTTATAGGTGGGAGTTTAATTGTAAGAAGAAAAGGTAAAAGGACAAACAACGATTGGTGGCTTCGACGAAGAACAAATGCAATTGCATTTTTCTTGTACTTGGTGGTAAAAACTATTGAAAATAATTAAAACAACATGATATGTAATTTTTCTCTCAGATGTTGAGATGGAAAGCCCCCAAAAAATTACATTTTTATATGAATATTTAGCCATGATATCTTCAAAAAAATTTGTCTTCTCCATTAAACAAACACCGAATATTTCGTATATGGTCTCGTGAAGACTTTTGTGGAAGAAAAATATCGGAAAACTTCACGTTTGATGTTGTTTGGCAAATTAAACTATTTTCCTTCTTTTCATTTTTTTATTTGTTCGAATATTATATCGAAAAAGGAAGTCTTTTATTTATATATTCTATCACTTTTTGAGATATTAATGCTTGATTTTTTGGCAGTAAGTTTTTTTTTGTTTTTGCTTAATGGTTTGGATTTACAACAGTAATGACATGTATTTAGCCACAACCAAGTGCATAGTAATAATAAATATAATCATATTTTTTATAATAAAAATATTGTTAATCTATTTTTTATATATTTCCATAACCGCGTAGATGTCGCAATAGTAGAAAATATAAAAATCCATGGTCTACTATGTCAACACAAATTCAAATATAAAAGATTCTCAATTGTCAATGCAAATCCAAGCAAAAGTATTGTCTAAATAATTTTTTATTTGATTAATATTTCTATATGTGGTTAGATACATGACTGCTCCGACTATACTAGGATCCCTTACGTGTGATTCTTTTCTATTCTCTGTTTAAAATATAATTTAATATTATGATTACTCATGAATATTTTTATTTTCATGATTTCTCAACTACTATATATTTAATATTGTTGTTGCTTGGTTGTCGTAAATTATAAAGTCAACATGGTTTAATTTTGTCCCGAAAATATGGACCATACGAAAAGCCCACTCGGATCACCTAGGTGCGATTTAAGCGGGAGGCTAGGATGACAAGTGACTTCTGAGACGTTGAAGGTTTACGATGATTGACTTATGGTTGTCCCGAGGTGCAGTTAACCTGTTGAATAAAGCTCGGGGTCGTCCCGAGAAGCACCTTGGTTTTGTCTAAAAACGCTTTGTGTCACCTCGAGGTACTTCATGGATGTGTCGGGATATTGCATAAATGGTCAGTGTCGAAAAGTATCTCAATTCAACCCTTTGATGCTTAAGTTAGTAGAGTATGTGGAGAGAGTTTAGTGGAGCTCAGAAAAGTTTATGATGATCCTACTTACCTCGTTTGATTTTGGGAGCTAGTTTTTTATACCTGGTTCGTCGATGGAGGGTGGCTAACTGCTCGTCCTCCCTCGAGCCTCTTATATTGGTAGGGGTTCATATATAGCGGTTAGTGAACATGTCTTCCCGTCGATTGTGTCGGGGAAGGACGACTAGGGGTATGCTTAAAATGGACAAGGGATGATGCTTAGCGTCAGGTGCCTAGAGAGGGAAGCTTGACCACACTGTCTAGGATTAATGCTTTATATGATTAAGAGTATGAGACCTTTTGAAATCATAATCGAGAGTGAGGAGTCGTTAGCGGTCGATGACGTGATCGAGGGGGAAGCCGAGAGGATGGGTTTGGTCACCATGTATCGATGGTCAACTCATATGATTTTCTCGAGATTCATGTTCCGATCGACGATCACTTGAAGGAGCGAACAAGCCCTTCCATGTTCCAAGTGGCAGCTGACAAGTTAGCAGTGCATGCTTTCCCTATCAACTATTCAATGTTTTGGTATTATGATTACTCATGCGTTGGCTAATTTATGATCTAAAGAAATCTTGTTCGGAAAAACTTGACAACAGTCATTTTCTGCATATGTAGACGTGGTGATGTAACTCGTCCCTAAGGATTCAAGTCGTCAATTCTCCCTCGCTTATAGAGATTCAGATGGTTTCTGAGATTTTAGATCGATATAGAGTCAGATTGTCTCATATAATTCGGATTGATGATCAATTCTGAGACTAACATTTGGCATCATGAACATGAGTTTTCTTGATGAATATATATATATATATATATATATATATATATATATATATACACACACCGATGGTCATCGACAAGAGTTAGGAGAGCGCCAACTGATTCTTACATCTATCACCCACACTTCGATGCTTAAAAGCCGTGAATGCATCGTGTCACCCAACGCATGCATATGGTGCAGCGACAGATGCCAATCATGAACGTATGCACACGATTGCTACAGTGAAAGCTAAGAATCGACTTCTTCTTCGCCCATCGATCCACTCGAGGAAGCAAAGGAGAAAGAGACCAGAGCGGAGAACTAAGCTCCGGCTTCATGGAGGTTCCCCTGGCCGTGCCTTGAACTCGGAACCCCAATCCATGGCCTCTGCAACAGCACGCTGCCGATCCCCATCCATCTTCTCATCTCGCTTCCCCTCGCCGTCCACCCTTCTCTCGATGCTCCCTTCACTATCGGTCGATGCTGCCGTAAGATGACTAAAGGCCGCAACCACGTCGGTCATGAACGGGCGCACCTCAGCCTCCTCCTGCAGGCACATAGCCGCCACGGCGACAGCCTGATTCAGCCCTCTCTCGGCGTACTCCCCCCGAAGAAGCGGATCGACCAGCTCGCGGTACCTCATCTGATCCCTGAACTTCGGTTGTGCCTACAGAAACCGGAACGAATCAAGAGCCACGTCAAAGATCATCGGAAGAATGGCATGGATGATACCCAGGTGACCAGATTCTGTTCGTCCGTCGGTCTGGTGGTGTCGATGGCTCGCCTCCCTGTTATCAGCTCCAGCAAGACGACCCCGTAACTGTACACATCGGACTTCAGGGTGAGCTGACCGGTTCTGGCGTACGTGTCCATGACCCTGGAGGAGACATGTAGCTCGTCTCCCACAGGGCCAAGCTTGGCGAGCCCGAAGTCGGAGAGCTTCGCGTCATAGTCCTCGTCGAGCAAGATGTTGGATGACTTGAGATCGCGGAAGATGACAGGGGGGTTGGCTTTCTGGTGCAGGTACTCCAAGCCTTTGGCGGCACCCAAAGCTATCTTCATCCTGGTGTACCAAGTGAGTGGTTCTTGATCCGGACTGATCTCTGCGAGGGTAATGCAGCGCGCCCGCGCGCACAGCGGTGACGAGAAAGGGGAAAAGGCAAGACAAGCAAAAGGATGCATGCGACTCACCGAGCAAATGATCTTCTAAGGAGCCAAGAGGCATGTACTCGTATACCAACATCCTCTGATCTCCGTCCGCGCAGTATCCAATCAGGCTGACCAGGTTCTGATGGTGGAGGAGACTGAGCATTAGAACCTCAACGAGGAATTCTTTGTTGCCCTCGAGGCCACTTCTGTCCAGTTGCTTCACAGCCACAACCTGTCGTCATAGACGATTTGTATGATTTCGTCCTCGACCGCTAAACAATAAGAATCAGTAGAGATTACCTGACCGGGTTTGTCGAGGCGCCCTTTGTAAACTCTTCCGAACCCGCCTTCGCCGAGAAGACTCTCAGGGCGGAAATTTTTGGTAGCCGACGCGAGCTCGCGGAAAGTGAACGTTTGAGCTGCGATGTTATCGTTGCTGGCCTCCTTAAAGGTGGATGCCTCGGGCGCAGTGGTCTGTGACTTGGGCGTGCCATTTGCTGCACAGAACGGGTACGTATGCAATGATGGAAGACAGTTGACATCGCATCCGGTGTTGTTAGAGTAAATGAGATGGCTCGCCTGGCGTTCCGCTCAACTCGGTGCTTGTGTCAGAAGCCACTTCACGGGGAGGGGCAGGTGAAGGTGCCGCCGGTGGCGGGCCATTTTTGGCGTCGAACTTCCTCGACGCCCTCCTCTCCTGGGATGAGAAACAAGAGAAACAACTCATCCTTCCACCGAGACCTCTCGACCGATCCTTTTACCACATTTTGGATGTAAATTGTGATAATGATTGTACTGAGAGAAAGAGAGGAGGGGATCAGAAAGAGTCAGAATCTGGGAAGATGTTTGGACATGGTATCCAGATCAGAGAAACTTACATTCCGCGAATATACGACGGGGTAGGCCAAGAAGAAGGATTGCAAGTGGTTTCGGCGCACGGTCAAACGAGGCCCGCACGTTCTTTCTCTGGGTGAGAGGAGAGAGAGGGGGATGAAAGGTCGCTCCTTGCTTTGGGGTTCCGACATGGGTTTGAAATCCGGAAGAGGCGGGCGGGGGGGCGGCGGCGGAGGAGTTGGCGGTATCGCATCACGTCACCACTCCCATTCGGCCATGTAATCCCCCCACCCGTCATATAGTATAATGGTTAAGATGCGAGAATGCGGAAATATGGATCTTTCGATAATGAAAAAACATCATCGACGAACAGAGTTGTAGGAACATGAAACAGAAACCAAGAAATATGATAATAAATGGATAATTTTCTTTATTTTACTCACAATATAGTCCACAGAAAACCTCGGCATCATGGACGAGCAGCAGGATTTCCAGCCGCAACTGGACGAGGACCTTGACCAGGTCTTGCAAGATCATCCTGCATTACAGGAAATAATGGGAAAAGTTAGGCATTCAACATTCATACAATAAAATATTTGGGAAAGATACACATGTTTTTACTGCTTAATGGAAAAAATAAAATACCACATGATATGATATATTTTGGTGATCTGGACATATCACAGCTGACACCACACGTCAAGTCAGAGTCCTATGCCACACGTCCCGTCCCGGAAGCTCGTACAAAGAAGATATGTCACACATCCCATCTTGGGAGCTCGAGGCGGTGCCGTTTGACGCCGCTCTGCACGTCCCAGAATGACGGCCAGTCAGAAGGGTCGTCCCATCCCTCGAGGGTCAGCAACGACATCGAATCGATGCACCATCAACCCTCGTGTTATAGTATAAAACCCCTAGCCGACCGACCAAAAGGAAGAGGCACAAAAAATAAAAGGAAAAAAGAAAAGCAATCTCTTTCGTTACTAACTTGCTCGTTGGAGGGGCCACAGCCAGGAACCACCCGGCGAAGGCCATTTTTGCAGGAGGACGACCCCTCGTTGACGGCGAGGGACTCGACACGGGAGCGCCAGTCGCCCGGCAGTGTGGAGTTGTTAATCAGCCCTGATCCCGACCAACGCCAACCAGCACTCCCTCCCGAGGGCCCGGCCACCTCTTCATCCATATCACCTCGCAGTAGGCTCCCGACATCGACTCATGGATCTAGCCGTGCTAACTCACCAACCACGACATATTTGTTCAGTAACACCACCTAACGAAAAAAGCCATATAAGAGAGATCACTGGAAAACCTACTCATGATTAACATGATTACTTTTCATAATAATGTCTATTACATTCAAAATAATTACCTCCAAACATTTTCTGAAGATAATGTCCGATGAACATATGCACATAATTAGTCAACAGAAACTGCTAACCAGTATTTTTAATCCAGTTAGCAGCAGCATCAAATGTTCATGCTCATCATCACAGCCACTGATACAAACTTTCTGCTAAAAGCTTAAGACCTTCAAACTACTTTCGAATTCAGCCATACATTGTCATGTTGACGGGGGTAATTGTTGATGTTGGAGACTTCGAGCTGTGGGTTGTACAGTACCGCGATACCATGACATTTACGGTCATGGATAGTTTTCGCATCGAACCATGAACTTGCAACATTCATGAAAGACCTTTCCCTACAGAATCAGGTAATTCACATATATGCGGCCCCTGCATCCACTCCAATGATAATTGCCATGACCTGATACACCATTGGATCACTGCTAAAGACAGAACAGGCCTTTAACCATGGTTCTTAACATGATCAAGCTTAGGTTACTATAGACAATTTCATATATAAATTCCACATACGTTAGCCGTGCAAATTCTATATACATGTCTGAAAGATTGCAAAATATACTAGTATGATGAACACCTTTTAATCATGAATTACACTTGGCATTAATAGGGTCAACAAACTCTGCGCACCCAAATGAATTCTTACTATCCCTAAATAAATTAAAAAGTTCAAGCATCAAAAAGAATGTGCCCAAGTCAAACCAGTCATTGACCTAAGAAATATGAATCCAACTAGAACATATCCATTGAAGGAAGTTAACATATACTACACAGGAGAATCATGGAAGAAAATAAAGCTTTGCATTTACATCTGTAAAATTTACTCGCTAAAATACAGATGGATTTACATCTGTGAATTGGTTTTGAGAAAGGAATCATTTACATGGGTTACACATTAAGCACTATATGATTAGCAATCCATATAATATCTAAAGAAAGCTAATTGACTTCAAAACTACACAACATTATGAGTTCTTTATCCCCTAACTTGGATTTTTTGCATACAAACACCATCGATACAGATATTAACCATATGCAAATTTTGATTTTGAGACAGTAAAAAACAGCCTGTTGATAGAAAATAATGCTACTACAGACATATCGGTAAATAAAACTATGATAGAATAGATGAATGCAAAAAAATCATCAGAGAAATAGTACCCGGCGTCTAAAACGCTGCGGCGGCTCACGGTTCCTCCTGTCCGTGCGAGACCTCACCCGAACAACATTCGAGTGGATTGCACAAGAGACACAGTACTGCATCTTGATATATAATTTTGTAAGAAGGTACCCTAAGATATGGAACAAATTAAGGTAAAAAAACAATATATGTTGCACCAAAGAGGAGGGAACAGTATTCTGATTAGGATTATAAGCAAGAAAAGTGAGCGATTACCCTCATAAGCACAAGCCTCCTGAACATCCCTGACGGCAGCCTGCTCCACTATGTTCCTCACGAGGAACCTCTTAATCGCCTTGTCATTCCGGAAGAAATTAACAGCCGCGAGTTGCGTTACTAATCACATACATTCATGATGGGTGAATCACGAAACAGACGGAAACCAAGAAATGTGATCCCGCTATCAGGATTTCAAGGTCAGATTCTCAAGAAATCAGCCAAAATCGAAAAGAATTAATCGCTGAAGGCGAGAAGGTTAAGGAAGAAAAAGATGAAACCTTGGGGCAGCACTTTCCGCAGTTGGAGCAGCGGGCGAAGTTAACGTGACCGCGGCCATGCTTGTTGCGACCGCCGTTCCTTCGCTTGAAAGTCTGCACAGCAAATGAGTTAATCGAGATCAGATCTCAGAAGGCGAAGAAACATCGAAGACAGAAAAAGAAGAAAGGTAAGGGAAAGAATCTAGGGTTTCGAATGCTCACCATCTTCGCCGCGGTATCGACTTCTTGTGGTCTAAACTCCGAAGTACGTAGCCGATTCGCCGAGCAACGGGAACAAAAATAATATGTAGCCGCTCTGTTGCACCATCGACCGTCCATCTTAGATCAGACGAAAGGGAGCTCGCAAATCTCCATGTTAACGATGAAATATACGCAGCGATTTATTTTTATTTCATTTAGTTTCACGATATATAATATATATGTACAACCATATTAAGTCGATTATATACAATCTAGTTTGACCCAAATTCGATTTTATATTTCATATGTACGTTATTACTTATATATTACATTTCAACAAAATTGATACATATTTTCTGGGTAAATTTATTTTAAATGTAAAAGAAAGGACAAAAATTGAAGGAAGCCTTATTTTGATTTAGCTGTGATCAAGTTAATTAAAATACATGAAAAATAAAGTACATATGATATATAACATGTCATTTATACCAATTACCAATACAAACTATTTCTAGCAAACATATAAAAATCACATCTTTTTGTAACCTTCTATCATTTGGCAAATTATACCTCATGCTTTACCATCCAGTCCAAATCTAAGCCTCATCTTTACCAGTCCAAAAGCCAAACACTTCAAGCAGTTCAGCTTGCTTAACAATTCCTAACAAGAGATAGATATTAGGTACCAATCCATTCTATCCCTGCTAAAATGGGTTATAGCTGCAATCTAACCAGATAAATAGCAATGGATTCGTATTACACTCCCAGACATGACAAGATGCTGTAATAAGAAAGATCAAAGGGCCTTAACACTGCACAACTTCAGTCGTATAGATTCCGTACTGGCAGGGAATCTATCATACACTCGGTACTGGCAGGGATTCCGTAATGGATTCATATTAGAACCTCTTATCATACACGCCATAACTCCGTACTGTCAGGGAGACAAGTATAGATTCATACACATGCATATATAAACTACCCTGGTCTACAATAACTTCAGTTTAGCTTGAAGAAGATGAAATGATGCAGACACATCAGGCACCACGGCCCATGGTTTGTTCCATGGGAGGCATCATAAGTAAGACTGGTCGCATATTGAGCCCGGGGTGGGGCAGCCTGCGACGCAGCTCACGACCTTCCTGGCAGAGGGAGCAAGTGTGGCACATGTAATGCGTGGCGAAGTCACATACTTGTTCCAACTGCTCACGTCTCAGTTCATCCTCAGCTACTCCATGGCAGCACCCACAGGATCTGGAGAATGCCTCGAAGCTACCCTATATATCAGAACAAAGGAGAGGCAACAACAGTAAGTTAGGAGCATTTTATCAAATTGAAAATCAGAGAATTTAGGTAACATCTTCAGCAGAATATCCACCATAACAAGACCAGAGTAATGAGAATGGAAACATGCATATGTTAAAAGTTGATAGGAAGAAAAAAAAAAAGATAGAATATATCTCAGTACATACAACAATGACACATGGATCTTGAAGGCCATTGAAACCAAATGATGTCATTTGTTTTCATCTTAAAGTTGATGTTACAGACAATACATCTTAAATCAAATAATACAAATAGTGGAGAACAAAAAAAATTACAAAAACTTTTGGGCAATGAAAGAAGTGTTAATTGCATTCTCCTGATTGAACAAACATAAAAGATATATAGTCCAAAGGGAACATAGTTAAATGATGAAAACACAATTATCTTACTGAAGGTAAAAACAATGGTCTCACTACCCGCAAATTCAATTTTTTGCCAACCTGGGAAGGAGAAGTGTAGAAGGCTACATTTATATGAGATGAGCATTTTTATGAGTTGGCCTTTAATTATTACCACCAGATGAGGCTACTAAAAAAGATCTGCTGTGTTCACGATTATGTTAATTTCATGCACATGTGCAACTAACGGTATACAAAGATTCATGTAGCCGACTCCAAATAGTTGTGACTTATGAATTTGTTATTGTTGTTAGTTGTCAGAACAATATCAGCTAGCATAATCATTCAACTCTTAGAGAAAGGATGTAAATTTTACAACTGATTAAGATCCATATTGATGACAAGCTAAAGGGATCTTTTAACTGCAAGTTTTTCTTCATGATTTAAAGTCCAATGCTAGCTATTTTATGCAAATCAATAAACAAAAATGGGAATGCGAATACACATTCCCTTGAAAGTGGAAAGAAATTACTTCAAGATTGAACTTGCGACGTATGGCTGTCCGGCTAGGATGTGAAAACCATGGTGCAAGGCAGTTCCAACCAAAAACAGCATTCCCAAGCACATAAAGACCAATATAAGGCAAGCAGTTATCGGCAAAAGACCCAGGAACTGCTCCAAGCCTCTCTGCATTACTTCCATACAACACACATGGAGCAAAGCTACCAAGCAAACCTGAACATAGCCGCCATAGTCAGCATGAGATAACCAAGCTATTGATGCTTAATGATGCATACAAGACCAGATAAATGACATAGTTAGCAACCTGACAAGTGCACAGTTACCTGTTCAAGGCAACTTTTTTCATATATAGTAAAAAAAGTGGCATTGCCCACTGTTATAGATGCTTAAAATTTTGATCAATGAAATGGCATAAGCATAAAAGGAAAATACCTTGCCTAAACAGAAAACTAGGAACTCCCACTACACACTTCATCTTTAGAAGACCCAAATACTTACAGATAAAAGCCAGATAACAGAAGGATAGGAAAAAAGTTAGCACCAGACTTAAATACAGTTGTTCCTCCATTTTCCACTCTTTGGTTTTCCATTAATGCTGTTATTTGTAAACTTTGTAAAGATGCCTTCTCAAACATTGCTGAGAACATTTATTAGATAGCACACGCTATACATTTTTACAAGGTGAAAGCTGACTATGTGAATGTTTATGTTTCAAGAATTTCGGTATGATTGCAAAGCACTTCTGGTCCTTAATTAAGTTCATGAATTTGATAATTGAACCTGAAAATCGTTCAAATAATGATGGATATAAATGAGTGCTAAAAGCTCTGCCTTCCCTTTAGATGTCATCCGTGATTTGCATGCAAATTTTGTTCTAGAATATGCACACAACCACTAAGAAGGATTGTAATTTGTCCATATTACCATGAGTTCGAAGACATACACTTAAACTTCAGCAAACCTACTGTGCTTAGCCCTTGATAACAAACACAAAACATGTCCAAAGTGAACTGCATATGAGGCTAGTGTTATTATTTCGAAGAATTTTTTTTCTTTCAATTTTTAGGGTTTAAACGAAGCAATCCTGAATTTATTGAGAGATAGATCCCATTTTCAGACAGAAAAATGCATGTTTACGGCAAAATTAGCTGACTCGACACTACCAATGACCTATATGGCCAAAAGAAAACGTGTTCACAATGACACGCCGTTGTGAAATTAATTGAGGATGGTCTCCTTAACATTATCAGCCGTGGAGGGTTCTGAACAACAACGATCTAATAGATCTATGAAAAGTATTATCCAAAAACCACCAGAAAACAACCAATATATGTATCAGATTCGAAACCCCCATCTTAATCAAAGTGAAAGAGAGAGATCGACCCGATGTACGCCAAAATATACCGAACCATGGAAAATACATAAAGGCCACGAAACGAGAGGGGTTGCAGAACATACAGACTTCCAGATCGCTGCTGCAGAACTCATCGTTGCGGCCGAGGCAAGCAAAAAGGCTGGAATTCCACTGGGCGCGCCCGACGGGCTCACCGACAACGCTTCCGCACCCGACGGGGAGCCCGTCGGCCGTCCACCCGGTTGGGACCGTCGCGGCGGTCAGAGGCGGCTTCTCCTGGAGCTTGGGGCCGGTCTCCAAGGGCACCTTCTCATGCGGCTCGGGGGCCGTTTCCGGTGGCGGCGCCGGTACCTTTTCCGCACACTCGGGGGCGGCATCCTCGCGGCCGTCGGGGTGCTTCAGGAGAGGGCTGGACTCCTCCAAATTCGCCATGGGATCGAAGTGGAGCAGAGAGAGAGAGAGAGATCAAATACGCCCGGAAGCGAGAGGAACGAGACTAGGGAAAATGGATTTGGGAATATGGCAATCTGGCCGAGTCTCACACGAAGAAACTTCTGCGGTAGACCACAAGAAGAGTTGGCATCATCATCAGTAGCAGGTATCCGATGCCGCATCTTGACCGTTCATCAAGGACTGGTGTCCATCAAGGCTTGCAAATGACGAGGCAATCATCAACCGTAGAAGGTGTCTGATGCTATATCTTGATCGTTCATCGAGGATTGAGGAAAGGTTCCAAATGCTACTTTCCTAAACCAACATATGAAGTAATGTTCACGATCATATTGGAGTATAAATAAGAAAAATAGAATAATTGTGAAATATTTTATAATCATAATCCATTTTAATAACGGTATAATCATTGTGAAATATTTTATGATAGTTATGTTTTGGTCATTGGAAATTTTCTTCTGCAAATCCACATTTCCAATGACCAAAACATAACTATCATATCAAAAGCAGATGATTAGCAGAAGAAAATTTCTTAGAATGATGTTCAGCCATTCCATGATATAAATATAAATATTAGTCAGTTTCAATGTTACATCCGATTTGATTATATCAACACCATGGTTATCATTTAATGAATTAAAAATACTTTCTATTTTTTTTTAAAAGTCACTTTCCATAGAAAGTTGTAATAAAAAAATGACAAAAAAAAACACCAATAGATAATATTAAAAATGGTAATAAAAAATATAATAGATAATATTGAAAGTAAGGATTATAATACCGAATGATACCGCTAGTATTGAGTGGTAACGTTGATCAAACCCTGTATTGGATGGTATAAGACAGTATCGAGGGGTAACGATCGATTTTGATTATCGTCGCTTGTTACTGGATGATATTAGTTTGATTGTAATGTGAGAAAAAGAAGTGCCGAGGGAGAAGAGAAAGAAGACGCTCGAAGAAGAAAGAAAATCAAGAGAAGCTTGATGCTTCCCCATCTAGCATTATCCTCCCTTGACAATCTCAAACCAGGAGGTAACGGAGAAGTGACGGTTCATCTTCTTCTTCGCCGCGTTCTTTGTCGAAGGCTGAGATGTCTACAACCTTTAGTATCTTCATCAAACGCTATATATGAGGAGAAGATCGTATTCTTCTCCTCGTTTGACATGATAAGAGAAGAAAAGGAGATGACGTCGTCGAGGCAACATACATCTTTTTTT